TGCCTGGCATTGAAATGCACTTTCAATTTGTTGATTTCATTTGTGATTTTCTTTTTAATATTTCAAGCTGTCATTTGAATTGTGGTTTATGTAGTATGTTGTTTTTTAATGTAGTATGTTTTCTATGACTACACTTTTAAAGACTTTTTTTTACATTAACTTTCAAGCATCGTGTCTGGGCATGCATTCTCTGAGGTCATCTAGGTTGGGCTTTATTGATTTCTGAGTCTGTAAGTTTAGGTACTCTGCCTATTTGGGATAGTTTTAGTCATCATTTCTTCCAATTCTCTGTCTGTACCAACATCTTTCTCCAGTCCTGGTGGGGTTTCAGTAACATGGGTGTTGGACCTTTCTCTATTATCCTGCAGGATTCTGAGCCTGTGCTTATTGTGGTGATATCTTGTTTGTACAAGTAAAGCATGTCTGAAGATTAGAGGGTGAAGCTTGCCACTAGCTAACCATAGAGGTCTGTAGACATACAGGAAGTGAGATGGCTGGGTGGAGAAAGGAATATAAGTGGGAGGAAACAGGAACTTGGTCTCTTTTCTGCTGGGAAGCTAGTGAGGTAAAGGTGGCTTTGGCTTGCTCCTTCTCTCTGATCTCTCAGCATTTTCCTCCATATCTGACTGTGGGCTCTTATTATTAAGACAAGTTAGAACTTATGTTACAGTTCATTGTTCAAGAGTTTTGTCTATGTGTGTCTGTTTGAGTGTGTCCACATGTATGTATGTATGTATGTATGTATGTATGTATGTATGTATGTATGTATGTATGGTGTGCATGCCTACATGCACATACAGAGACCAGAAGCAGGGGTCAGGTATCCTCCTCAATGATTTCCTACTGATTCTCTTGGTGTGGGGTCTCTCCCTGAATCTAGGACTCATTTTTCTCCATTAGACTGGTAGTCAGAAGTCCCCAGTGGAGCTAGGGTTCCAGATGTCTGCAGGATGTCAGCTTCTTCTTCTTCTTCTTCTTCTTCTTCTTCTTCTTCTTCTTCTTCTTCTTCTTCTTCTTC